AGTACACCTATAATGTTACAAAGTACACTTTAAAGTAATATTGCCAGCACTTTGTCACTTAAATGAGCATGCTCAGTGCAAACGAAGATTAGTCTCAATAAAGTATGAGTTTAAAAGTGTTTCTTATAATTAGGTCCTACTTATAACACGTCGTGGTCTAACAAAAAAAAAAAAAAAAAAAAAAAAAACCTTTAATGTTCATGTAAAAATGCACTTACAACACTATAGCGTGGAATTTGGAAAATTACCACATCTAATTATTGTATTGTCAATGGTGGTGTGAAATTAATTTCCAAAGTCACAAAAATGTTAATTTTGCCCTTTAAAAACTTAAAGTTGTAATTGTTGGAATGCTATTTTTTGTAATTTTGCTTCAGTCGTAACATTCAATTTGCTTTAATTCTCCCAAAATATCTTTTATTCTTGTCTCAAGCTAAGCTTACTTTATTATCCTTGCATTCTAAACCTTCATTGCAAGGGAGGAATCTTTTTATAATAATTTTTTTTTTTCACTATTTTTCATTCATCAATTGAACATTCCAAACCCCTTAATCAGTCGGAAAATTCATTGCCCTAATAAGAGAATGAACAACTTTATTCATACATAATAACCAAACCATAGCCATTCTCCTCAGGAAAAGAAAAAAAAAAAAAATCTTGCCCACACAGACTTAGCTTAATGGTTCAGTTGGTAATATTTGGTAGAATAGATCTAGCTTCGAATCTCGACAGCGGCAGTGTGGGATTATTGCCCAAAGCAACCGTTATGCTGTGGAATCGTGTTCACCTTACAAGGTGGACACAGTTCTATGTTCATAATTATAAAGCTATATATTCATAATTTTTTAACTTCATATTCATAATTATTGAACTCTATATTCACAATTACAAAACTCTATGTTCATAATTACTGAACTATATGTCATAATTATAAATCTATATATTCATAATTTTTAACTCCATATTCACAATTATTGAATCTCTATATTCATAATTACATAACTATATGTTCATAATTATGTTCAAAACTCTATGCTCATAATTATAGAACTATATGTTCATAATTTTGAACTATATATTCATAATTATGAACAGTTTTGGAACCGTGTTCACCTTGCAAGGTGGACACGGTTCCACAGCATAATTTGTCGCATTTGGCCTGTCTGCTGAGCCATTAAGTCACCGTGATTTAGGCCTGTCTGCTGAGCCATTAAGTCACCGTGATTTACACCCTCCCAAATGCTCTGCCAGGCCGGTGTGTGAGGAGCCCTTGGGGTTGAATATTCAACCTTTTGGGTGAAGGAAAAAAATACATCTTCCAAATTACATTTAGAATTGAAAAGAGTTAATTCCATTTTTTGTCCTAGATTTATAGGTGGCAGTCCACTTTTAGCCCTTTTTTATCAGAACATTCCTTTTTTGCCCTAGTATTATATTATTGTGACATAACCAATTTTGGTCTTGTATCAAAAAAATCGTTGAAATCTAGTTAAATACAAGAGCATTTCGCTCTTCAATTATGATTTTTTTTCAAAAAATAAACATAAAAAATATAACAAGTCAACGCACTTTGTGTCAAAAAGATCAAAATGTCCTTCAATTTAATGAAATTTCAACGATTTTGTTGCTAGATGACCAAAATTGGTCATGTCATAATAATACTAGTACCAAAAGGGGATGTTCTGATAAAAAATGACTAAAAGTAGACTGCCACCTATAAATCTAGGACCAAAAACGGAATTAACTCAATTGAAAACAATTAAACGTTAGAATGTTTTGTTTTGTTTTTTAATTCTTTTTTTTGGATTAAAAGGAGGGAAGAACCCGGTAGTGAACTACTAAGCAGCAATGTTGGCTGGCTTTCCACACGAAGTCCTGCGATGAACTCGCGCACTAATCGTATCCTCCCAAATTACATCCTCAACCACCGTCGGGGCATCTTCCATATACCAGTCCCCCAACTCATGTATGAGGGCCACTGCAGCGAGGCCATCTGCAACTTTGTTTTGTTCTGGGAGCACATGTTTGAAGTTTACCGATTGGAACTTATGTTGTTCATGAACACATAGCCGCACGATGTTACACCTTAACTCATGCTATGGCGCATCCCCAGACATCGCCTTAATCGTCTGCAACAAGTCGCTTTCAATGACAAGCTGCTTTGCACCCCAGCCTGCCGCTAACTGCATTCCGTGCAACACTGCCCAATGCTCCGCCTGTTCAGCAGAGCATGCTCCAATGTTATAAGTGAAACCACGTAGCCATTGCCAAAGGTCGTCGCGAAGGACACCTCCGCATCCCGCTTTTGTACTTGCAGCTTTAGAACAACCGTCGACATTCAGTTTCACCCACCCTTCTTCCGGCTTCTCCCACGCGACGAGCTCCGGAGCCGTGCTGCGTTTGCTACCCGTGGCAGGCCATTTGTTCCGGATCGCCTGCCAAATTTCCGTCCGTTGATTGACAATCCATGCCCTTCGTTGGTCTAAGCTCATACTCTTTCCTGTAAAAACTCTATCATTGCACCACCGCCAGCACCACCAGAGGCAGATGCCAAAAGTCACCGACCACTCCCCCTCAAATCCCATCCTTTGCCTTGGAGCTTCTGCGTGACTCCCCGGGGCATGAACATCTCCCAGAACCCTGTCATCTCTAGGCATCCTCTAAATAAATGGTCCAGCATCTCCGGCATACCTGCACACAACAAACAGATCTGATTAGTCGTGAATTGCCTCTTATATCGTTCCACATTAGTCATTATCCTTGTTTCACTAGCCACAAAAAGTGGTTTATCTTGTGTAGGAGTCTAATGCACCAAATTCTCTCCCAATCTTTATCCAGATGAGATGCAATCCTCGTATGGAATGCTTTATAGGCTGAGCGCACAGTAAATTTTCCATTCGTTTCTCTTCCCCACACCCATTCGTCTTTCGCATCATCATCTTCTAGAATAACCACGTCGTGAAGTGTTTTTAACCAAGCCTCCTCTAGTACACCATTCAAGAGCTCCTACTTCCATCCCCAACCACTCTCCCAGTAGTCCGCCACATACGCATATAACTCCGGGAAACTCACAGTTTGTCGCATATGATCGAAGAGTCGTTGTCCAGAAATCCAAATATCCATCCAAAAGTGTGTGTCCTTCCCATTTCGTGCAACCCACGTCAGGCCCCGGTCGAGAACGAGTGCAACTGCAAGTCTGCAACAATGCCTCTCCATGCATTTGATGCTTGTCGTCGTCCATTCGCCCTCCTCTCCGAAGCGTACTTGTCAGCTAACACCCTAACCCACAAGCTGTCCGGCTCTACTTTCATCCGCCACCCTAATTTTGCCATATAGGTCATGTTTACATCCTGCAACTTCCTGAACCCTAGTCCCCCTACGAACTTCTCTGTCGTGATCGTTTCCCATTTGACTAGGCTCGTCTTGCGTGCGTCTCCATTGCCACCCCAGATGAACCTCCTTGTCATAGTTTCAATCTTCTGGCAGACCCCTTTTGGTAGAAGAGTGGTTTGCATTGTATATGTGGGGATGGTGCAGAGGACTGATTTGGCCAAAGTAACCCTACCAGCAAAGGATAGAGTCTTGCCTCTCCATCCATCCAATCTCGCCGCAACCCGATCAAGTACCCCGGAAAATGTGGCCTGCGTTGTTCGGCAGTGGATCGATGGCACACCTAAATACCTGCCCAAGTCAGTGGTCTTCGGGATGCCCAGTGTCGTAGATATTGCTGCCTCCATGTCCGGCCCTGTTTTTTTTTTTAGAAAAACACTTGGGACTTGTTCAAACTAACCCGCTGGCCCGAGGCCTCACAGAAATGTTCCAAGCATTGCTGAATAACAATAACCTGATCCAAAGACGCTTCCGAGAACAGAACCATGTCATCCGCAAAGCATAAGTGGGAGAGTGTCGGCCCTGATGGAGATAGACGGATGCCTTTCCACGCCCCTGTCATCTGCTTTGGCTTAAACGCTCCATGCACAGGACGAAAAGCGCCGGTGACATGGCATCTCCCTAACGGATTCCCCTTCCGAGTTTAAACTGTTCCAGCCGCACCCCATTCCACACAATTTGCATGCTTGCGGATTGAGCGCACTCCATATTGATTCGCGCCCATCCATCGCTAAAACCTACGTCCAAAAGAGAATTATAAATAAAATTCCTGAAAGGCAGTCATATGCCTTCTCCAGATCGATTTTAATAGCCATTAGTCCACTTTTTCCTTTTTTTTTTTTTGTACGCATAGAATGCATAACTTCCTGGTGAATGACTATATTATTTGTAATCTACCCCCCAGGGATAAAAGAACTCTGAAACAGACCAATAATTTTTGGTAGGATAGCCTTGAGCTGTTCGTGATCGTCTTCGTAACTATTTTGTAAGAAACGTTACAAAGGCTTATTGGCCTAAACTGTTTAATATTTTTAGGTGCCATGACTTTTGGTATGAGGACTAATAAAGTGTCATTGACTCTCTCCGGAAGTTTGCCTGTTTAAAAAGCAGTCTTAACAAGGCTGTGTACGCAATCTCCCATGGCGGCCCATGAGTGTTGGTAAAAAGCCGCATGTAGACCATCCAGGCCTGGAGCCTTCCACAGGCTCATATCAAAAAAATGATTTCCAAACATCCTCTTTTGTTACAGTCCTGTTGAACCTTCTCCATTCCTCTGCGCAAATGCCCGGAAATATGCCCCTCTTTGCCAATGTTTTTCAGGAACAGTTGAGTAGCTTCGGAGCGCGCTAGGTGGATTCGTGGACTTAGTTTAGTTAGTTCTAGCCTTGATGAGATGGCCTGTGTGCCTTGACTTGTATTTGGATATTAATTGTGGTTTACGCTTTGTTTGATAGTTTAGCCGTGCATCTGAGTCCTCTAGCTTAGATGTGGCATAGCACCCCGCCTATTATGTTTAGTTTATGCTCTGTTTGGGAATTAATAATAGATATGCCTTTATTCCATAAGCTTTAAAATTTTCAAAAATTAGGGGTGTCACAGAAGCTGTTGCCCTAACTGTCCGACGACGTCGTTTTTAGGCGTCGCTGGACCCAGAGGTTCTGCTCATCCAGCGAGAGTGGCCGGCCGGCCAAGGAGAGGGCTTCCACGAGGAGTTGCGCCTGGCCTATGTAGTCCGCCGCCGTCATACTCCCTTGTCGTAAGGACTGGAATTGTCCTAGAAGGTTCAAACACCGGGCGCGGGAGCTGGATCCGAGGGCGGTGGTTATGGAGTCCCAAACCTCCTTAGAGGTATTCCGACCGACGGCAAGATGTAAGACTTCGTCGGCCATGGAAGACACCAGCAGCGACAAAATTGACGCATCCTGACGAACCCAGTGCTTGTAGTCCGGATTCGGGAGTTGCGTCGAGGCCACACCGGAGGATGAATCGGTGGGTGTCGGACTGGTCACGGTTGGAGCCGGGCACGGCGTTTCGCCAGTAACAAAACCCAACAATTCTTGTCCCTTGAGAAACGGGACTAATTGGGTACGCCAGAATAGAAAATTACGCGACGTGAGTTTGATAGACACAAAGTGATGTGCCGAGGCTAAGGAGTTCGACGTGGCGGTCGAATTGGGGTTGGAGGTGGTGATGGTTCTTTCCGACGAGTTTGTCGACATTTTTCGGGTGGGGGAGAGAAAAGAGGAGGATCGAACGCAAGGCGTTACTGATACCAGATGAGAAGTATAATTCAAACTCTTAATTTACCGGATAACAATTACAATATTAAAAGAGGTTTGAACAACGTAAACCTCTCCTAAATAATAGCTTTGACTAGACCACTTAAACTAGTGCTACACAAATACTAACATTATTAAAAGCTAATAATATAACATTATTGACAAGCCAGCGCATCTTTCTGTTGTGATCCGAGATTGTAGGAGTTGTTTTCCTTTGTTGCTTTCCATTAAAACTGTAGAGTGATAGTGGATGGAGGTTTATGCTGAATAATATACTGAACTTTTCTCTCTTCTTCTCCTCTTCCCTTCCCTAAACCCTAATTTTTTCCCCAAATCTCTTTTCCAAAACTGTGGATCCACGACGGAATAAATTCGGTCGCAATATTTATTCAATACACCAACAACTATTTCTTTTCACGACGCGTGAAAGTCCGTCGCACTTTCAGTCGCTATTTCGTGACGGAAAGCAAAATCGGTCGCCTTTTCCGTCGCAAAATAGACGACGTAACTAAATGTCGTCGCAAATTCGGTCGTGAATATTTACCGCCAATATTTCGCTAGTTTTATTTTTCCTTTGCGCCAAGATTCGCGACGGAATTAAATTCCGTCGCCCTTTCCGTCGCAAATTTGCAACGGAAGCAATTCGGTCGCAATATCCGCCGCATTTTTGCATCGGATTAATATCCGTCGCGATTTTCCGTCGCAATTCGCGATTTTTCTTGTAGTGGGAGCACTGCAGAGTATTTGCAGTGCAACTGACAAAGTTATGGTTTTTGGCATTTTGGAAAATGTTAAAGATGCAATCTTGTGGTAATCTAAGATTCGGTTGAATATGCAAAGAGTAATGCAAAACAATGTTGCTGTCTTCCATATACAAGAGACTTTAGAAGAAGGTAGACATATGGAATCCATTTTGTTTTGTTTCCCTTGTACAGTCACTGTAATCTAGAAATCAACTTGTTGATGCCCTTGATTCACAACTTAGCTTTACTAATCAACTCAGTTACTGCTATATTTATCATCTCCTCACCCATTTATTTGTCTTGACTGTAGGTTGTTTGTTGATTGACAAGACATGAGTAATATGACCATCTCCTTTGGCTTTGCAGAAAAGAGATGATGAGAAATGGATGAAACATGCATTGGGGTAAGTTACACTCCATATTTGTTTATATTTTTTCAATTGATTTTCCTCTGAATGATGACAGAATTGCAATGTCTTCCTATTTCTATGTATTTGTGTTCTCACTCTTTCTCTCCAGTCTCCACGCTCGCCACCCAAATAAGCATGTTAAGTTAGACATGCTTTATGATGTGCTCATACTAAATTTTATGATATTAATTTTCCTCCCTAGGCAGGACAAAACCAGAATTATTCCGTGATAAGATTTTTTGTGAATTTGGAAACTTCGTAGACTTTTACAGCACTAGGATGCTTGATTATATAACCTCTTTCATTTTCTATGAACTATGGCATTTCTTAGACCAAACCTATCATTTGAAGTTTAATAGTGGATGAATGATATTCTATAACATGACTAGCTGGCTCTAGATAACTAATGGATTCTGAAAGCATCATTTTGTCTCCTACCTTATCTGAGAATTGAGTTATTTTATTTCATGACTTTCATCTTGTTTCTTCTATATACTTTACATTCAGGATATTTTTGTGGTTCTTAATATCATGTTACATTAATAAAAGATTTAGTCAGCATATTTATTGCTTCCTACCTCTGCTGAAATCTGCTACCATCTGCACAATGATTCCTACCTGCATATGCTTGTATTTCTGCCAATACTTGTGAATTGCCAAGATATCAGTCTAGTTCACAAACAAATTTCCTGCCCTGTTGTTGCAGATATTGGGAGAATGAGAAAGTAAGGCTAGAATACATGCCTGTTCACATGAATACATTGGATGATGAAATTGAGTCATTCCCACAGAAGGCGCGTGTGTATTAGCATATCATAGCTACATGGATAGTTGGTGGCTAACGGAAATAATCTCACTTCCTTAAGGTTTCAATAACCTACTTAGGAGATCTCTGTATTCTCAAATTTTGGTAATAAATTATTGCAGACTTGCAGTCATCTACTTATGATACATGGAAGCATGAAATGTGAAGAATCATTTGTATTGCTCTATTTCTTGTTTTTCAATGTTATTCAGTTAATAATCAAATCATTTGTATTGCTCTATTTCTCTATTATGTTATGGGGATTTTGGTTTAGTTTATCTTCCATAACCTCATAATAATATGAGTATTGTTATATTACATTACAATCCTTTTTTTGGTACACAAGAAAATGTGAGGTTCCTGTAGAGAGTGAGATTTTTAAATTTTGTTTTTAGTTCATTTTTTATTATATTCATCAAATCACATTCCTCCCATAATTTTAAAATATGTTAGATTTTCAGAAATGTTAAATTACTTTAAATCATTCCTTGAATGCCTATAGAAATATTAAAAAGCTTTAAAATGTAGGCCACAAATAAGCTTTGAGTCTATTTAAATAGGCTCAAAGCCTATTTAGGACCTACTTTGAAGCCTTTTTAAAAGCTTATTCATTAAACAGGCTTTTAAAAAGGCTTCAGGCTCAGGCTTGAGCCTAAAAAAAAGGGCCTACATACAGGCTTAGGCTTTAGATTTTCAATCGTTATGCTATGGACACGGGTAACAGTGCCGTTAGGCACTGTTATCTTCTTTTTATTTTATTTTATTTTATTTTATTTTATTTAATTTCAGACCGCATCGTTATAGGAGTATATGTTCATAATTTTATTACTATATTTTCATAATTGTAAGTTCATAATTTCAGAGCTCTATGTTCACAATTCCATAACTGTACATTCATACTTCCATAACTGTACATTCATAATTCCGTAACTGTACATTCATAATTCAGTAACTGTAACTTCATAATTTTCGAAGCTCTATGTTCACAATTTTAGAGCTCTATGTTCATAATTTTATCACTATATGTTCATATTGTAAGTTCATAATGTCAGAGCTCTGTGATCATAATTTCATAACTGTACATTCATAATTGCATAACTGTACATTCATAATTGCATAACTGTACATTCATAATTCCGTAACTGTACATTCATAATTCAATAACTGTAAAATCATAATTTTCAAAACTCGATGTTCACAATTTTAGAGCTCTATGTTCATAATTTTATCACTATATGTTCATAATTGTAAGTTCATAATGTCAGAGCTCTATGTTCATAATTTTATAACTTACATTTATAATTCAATAACTGTACATTCATAATTTCATAACTGTACATTCATAATCTCATAACTGTACATTCATAATGGCACAAACGAATAACGTTGTTAACGGCGAGACAAAATCAAATTTTTTTTTTTAACTAAAATGACGGGTTTTCCCTGAATACGACGTCGTTTTGGACTCGTGTCCACAATGCATTGTGGACACGAGTCCACTACATAATTTGCGTTAGATTTTCCTAACAGGCACATGCCTAATTTTCTAAAGTCTGGCTCGACCTAGCCTATTTCTACCTCTACTTGTGACATTTAAGTGAAAATTACACAAGTAATACCTCATAATCTTGAAAATTACCACAAAATCACAAGGATTTGAAATAATTGGGAGTAACATTTAAGTGGAATTACACAAATATTATCATCTTTAATAAAGTTTATTTACATTATTAACAAAGGACACAAAATCGCAACAATTTGAAATAATTGGGAGAGATATTTGTTCATTCATGATAATTGTCAATGACCTCCCATAAGTGATCATGAGTTTGAGTCCTAATTTCAGTAGGTTGAGAAAGTAGCTATGAACAGATGCTACATTGTAACAGAGTTAATCGCATTTATAAAAATAAATAAATAAATAATCATCAATTTAGAATAACAGAGAGTAATATTTTTCCCCTCATGACAATTAATAAAAATAAAGTAGGTTGAGAAAGTAGCTATGAACAGATGCTACATTGTAACAGAGTTAATCGCATTTATAAAAATAAATAAATAAATAATCATCGATTTAGAATAACAGAGAGTAATATTTTTCCCCTCATGACAATTAAAAACCAAAGTAACTACGATGGAAAATTGAAGGATCACAATCACACTTTTTCAATTTTTAATATTATCTAATAATCATATAATTACAAAGATTGGTTGCTTCTAATATAGCACTAATTTTGTTTTAAGGCAATTACTTTATTAAAAGAGAAGCATTGCCCAACTCTTAAGGCAAGAGGAAGATTGATTTGTCGGGAAAGGTGTGGTTGAGTAGGTGATATATAATTTGATCTTGTACCTAAATATTACTAATTCGGTTCTTATTAATATTCATCAGTGTCAAGCACCTTGTACTCAGATGACACCTCTGTGGTTCTCATTGAGGGAAGGTCACAGGATCGAACTCCGGTGATGAGGTATTGACTCTTTGGATTGCATTAGTTAGAGAAAGTATAGAACAGATACTACCTTATAATAAAGTCAACAGTGTCCAAAAAGAAAAAAAAAATCAATAATGGCCAAAAATAAATAAAGAAGAAGAAGATTGATTCTCACATTCATTCCACAAGCATATATCCAATTTTATGTGTTCATTGGTAAATGTTACTTGTATGTAACAAAAATATTTATATAAATATTAGTTAATTCACAAGTAAGCAATGAATATTTTATATGAAAAATAATAACACATGTTATGAGTTAAAAAATAACTCCGTACTATTTTCTTCTATTAAATTTACCTCATAATGTTCATCATTCGAAGTCTACATTTTTTTTGTACCAAACTAAATATTAGGTTTGTGTCCATTACATTCGCAAGACCCTTCGCAGTCTTTAGGGGATCATACAGATTGGAAATTTGGAATAGACATTACATATACAGCCCATGTCGGAACCCTAGCTCCGGCCGCCGGCATCTCGACGGTCGCAACGGGTTTGGGTGTCTTGTCGACTTCGCAGTTAGAGACTCCGTCATCTGCTTCTGTCCGGTCCGACAGCCATGATGGCTCTCGGGTTGGTGCGGCTCAGACTGCCGGAATGGTTACCAGCTTGGTTAGAGGTAGGGTTTTAAAAAAAAAAATAGTCCATGTGGCTGCTTATGTCAGCATTAACCGGAAGGTTACTCATAAAATGAGTGAATTGTACTAATTTGATGAGTTGAAAGGTTCAATTGGAACTTTTTATAAATTAAGGATCTAATTGTTATTTTTATTAGGACTCTATCATCATTAGTATTCGTTACCTATTATTATCTAATTGACCGTGGTCGCGGCAAAGGGCGTGGTCATGGTCGTGGCGGTGCCGGGGCTGTCCAGTGCCAGATCTGCTCCGGCGAGGGCCATTCGGCCGATACGATGGAGCTCCGGGGCCGAGAGCGCATGTTGCGTATCCTGTGGACGATGCGGCTTCGGTTAGCACTCAGCAATGGTTTCCCGACACTGGTTCGTCGAACCATGCCACCCCGGATCCGTCTTTGATGTCCTCGACGGTCTCTTATAACGGTCCGGATCATCTTCGTGTTGGTGACGGTAAGTGTTTACCTATTGTTGGTACTGGTTCGTCTTCGGTAGCCTCTTCTAAAACACTGTTTCGGTTGTCTGATGTTCTTTTTGTTCCTGGGCTTTCTGCGTCTTTATTATCTGTCCAACGGTTTGCCCGTGATAATAATGTCTTCTTTGAATTTCACCCTGATTGTTTCTTTGTGAAGGATCATTCAACCAGGGAAGTTCTATATAGAGGGCAGGCTTCGGGGGGTCTCTATTCTTGGCCTGTTTCTCGCTTGAGTCCCGCTGCGTTAGTGGCTTCGCGTGTCTCCTCTGACGTTTGGCATGGTCGGTTGGGTCACCCCCATCCTCGTGTCTTGCGGCAGATTTTGAATTTGTGTTCCATTGATTCTAGTTTTAGTAATAGTTCGGTGTCGTGTCGTGCTTGTATGCTTGGGAAATCATCTCGGTTTCCCTTGCCTCGTGTCAATACTACTACGTCGCATGTTTTAGAGCTTATTTATACTGATATTTGGGGCCCAGCGCCTTTTCTTTCTGTCAATGATTTTCGTTATTTTGTTTTGTTTGTTGATGACTACACACGCTATGTATGGTTTTATCTTATGCGATTAAAAACTGATGTGTATGCTATCTTCGAGCAGTTTCGGTCACTAGTTGAGCATTCATATGGTCGTAAGATTGTCTCTATACAATCTGATTTAGGGGGAGAGTATAAACTATTGCACCGTACTTTTGTCTCTTTGGGTATCAATCATAGGCAATCTTGTGCCTATACCCATGAGCAGAATGGCAGAGTTGAGCGTGGCATCGTCCCGTTGTGGAAACGGGTCTGGCTCTCTTGGCTCAGGCTTCGGTTCCACAGCGATATTGGGATTATGCCTTTGAGACTGCGGTCTATCTCATCAATAAAATGCCTACTCGAGTTCTAGACAATGTCAGTCCTCATTATCGTTTGCATCATTCTAATCCTTCTTATTCCTTCTTGCATGTGTTTGGCTGTCTCTGTTATCCTCTGTTGCGCCCATACAATCGTAACAAGTTGCAGAATCGGTCATCCCCGTGTGTGTTTCTTGGTTATCCGTCTTCGTTTCGTGGCTATCGTTGTTTAGATCCTGCTACTAACAAGGTATTCATTTGTCATCATGTACGGTTTGATGAGACTGTATATCCATTTGCTTCTTCTGTGCCTTCTCAGGTCTCTAGCTCTCGCCCGGTTGAGCCGTGGGGTGTTGGTACCGTTCGGGTTGGTGTTGGCTCTGATGTTTGTCCCACTGGACCTGATCCTCATCCGGAGTTGGACGCGGATTCCGGGGCTGCCGCAGCTGGTTCAGATTCTCGCACCGTGACTGCCACGGCTCCGGAAGGGGCGATCTCGGGTGCTCCTACTGCGCCCAAGCAAGGCCACCGTACGGCGAAGCCTGTTCAGCCTCGGTCTCATGTTATGGCAACCCGTTCCCGAGGACCGACGCAGCATGTGGCTCTTATAACTGTTCCTGAACCGACTTGTTATTCTCAGGCAGTTCGGTATCCGGAGTGGCGTGAGGCCATGGATCTTGAGTTTAATGCCTTGCTCCAGAATCACACTTGGCGTCTGGTTAGTCGCACACCTGGCATGAATGTTGTGGGGTGCAAATGGGTGTTCAGAACGAAGCGCAAGGCAAATGGCACGATTGAGCGGCACAAGGCTCGATTGGTCGCAAAGGGTTTCAATCAAGTCGCTGGGCAGGACTTTTTTGAGACTTTCAGTCCTGTTATCAAACCCACCACCGTGTGGCTTCTTCTCTCTTTAGCCGTTTCTCGCGGTTGGGTCATTCGGCAGTTGGATGTTCACAACGCCTTCCTCAATGGTAATCTTTCAGAGACAGTTTACATGAGACAGGCGCCCGGTTATGAAGACCAGTCACGGACGGATGATGTGTGTTTGTTACAGAGGTCACTCTATGGTCTTAAGCAGGCTCCTCGAGCGTGGTTCAATAGGTTGCATGCTTTCTTGGTGTCGGTTGGTTTTTCACCCTCCAAGACTGATGTTTCTTTATTCATCTATACTCGTGACTCTGTCTGTTTATATTTGCTTGTATATGTTGATGATATCCTTGTTATGGGGTCTGATGCTTCGTGTGTTACCCGGCTTCTTACTGACTTAGCCTCGGAGTTTAAGATTCGTGACATGGGTGCTCCGTCTTTTTTTCTTGGCATTGAGACGGTCTCCCAAGATGGTGGTTTGTTTCTTTCTCAGCAGCGATACATGCGAGATATTTTGAGCCGTGCAGGTATGGTGGACTGTAAACCGTTGGCTACTCCGGTTCCTGTGTCCCGACCTTCTTCTGATTCTGTGGTTCCCTATGCGGATCCCACGCAGTATCGCAGTCTTGCTGGGGCTCTACAGTATCTTACTATTACTCGCCCGGATCTCTCTTTTGCCGTGAATCGGGTCTGTCAGCATATGCACTCTCCAACCACTGAGCATTGGGCTATGCTCAAGCGTGTTCTGCGGTATGTAAAAAGAACTCTGCACTTTGGTTTTTTTATTCGTCCTTCCTCCTCTGTTGCGGTTCATGCCTTTTCAGATTCGGACTGGGCTGGTGATCCAGCTGATAGGAAGTCTACTAGTGGTTTTGCGGTTTTTCTTGGTGGCAATCTGATTTCCTGGTCTTGTCGGAAGCAACGCACGGTTGCTCGTTCGTCTACAGAGGCTGAATACAAGGCTCTGGCTGATGTGTCTGCGGAGGTCACCTGGTTGGTTTCTCTGTTGCACGAGCTTGGAGTGTCATTGCCTGCTCCTCCCACTCTCTGGTGTGATAATTTGGGTGCGACTTATCTCTGTTCCAACCCGGTGTTCCATGCTCGTACGAAGCATGTGGTAATTGATTACCACTTTGTTCGTGACAAAGTGGCGAAGAAGGAGTTGCAGGTTAGCTTCATTTCCACAAAGGATCAGCTGGCTGATGTGTTCACTAAAGTTCTCCCTGGTCCGCGTTTCTCTACTCTATGTGGCAAGCTCAATATTGTTGCTAGTCCACCTTGTGCTTGAGGGGGAGTATTAGGACTCTATCATCATTAGTATTTGTTACCTATTATTATTAGTATCCGTTTTGTAATAGGTTTACTATTCACTACTATATATACTCTTGTACAGACTCATTATTGACTATTTAGATATATGATGTATTTTGAGGTCCTATTCGACCCTTACCCCTAATAATAATAATAATAATAATAATAAAAGATGGCCTATTTTTTACCCTTATCGCCATTTGTCGCCATACTGGAATTCCGGCCAGGTGAGGTCATCATCTAATGCGTTTCTGTTCTCAAAAAAAATAAAAATCTAATGCGTTTCTGATCTCTTCTGGAGGCTGACTGAAAAAGTGCACTCCGCGTGGCGATGACAAGGATAGAATTGATATATTTGTTATAATAATACATAATTACATATAATATGAACATATGATTAACGTAAAATATCATTAAAAATAAAGAATGAATTTTACTTGGTACAATTTTATATTATTATTTTTCATTTATTGAAAGAACAACATCGTTTGGAATGTATTACTTCGTACAATTTTTTTTGTTCTGTATAAGAACTCTCACACAGGAAAAAGAAATCCCCCCAAAAAAATTAGTAAAAGTGGAAAACTATATAGCAAAATTGTGGTGTGAAAACTCAACGTGATATGGGACTACAAAAAAAGAATTCCCACATCATAAACCAAAATTGTTGTTGTGGTGTTCTGATAGCAGCAGGCAGCAAGGTTCCATGACTCTACTCATTTGTTTCTCAGGTCCTATCCTGAGATTTTTATTCTGATACCTCTTCTTCCATGGATGCTGCGTCTCAGAGAGCGCGGAAGGGATGCCTCCACCTCTCGAGATTCATCATCCGGTTGTCACTGTTGATCGGCCTGAACACTCGCTTTACATCAATCTCGGACTGAAGTGCAGATTTCAGCTGCTTCAAGTGCAAAGGGCATTGCATATGGTGATGGGTGACGGCTGTCTGGCTGATTTTTGGATGGTCGGGATAGAATTTTCGTTTATAGGGAGACCCCCACTTTGCTTGAAGGTATGTGTACGATCTCCAGGGAGGGAGAGGCATCGAGTTCTGCTTCAGGGATGATTTAGCAGCTTCGACCATGACTTCGAGGAACTGTTTCAGTCTCGGTATAGAGCCCACGTAGACAACGGGGAGAGAGGTCAGTATTCTGTCGTAGGATTGAACTGCTCTAGCGATTTCAAAGTGGCTGTGAAAGTTGATATCAATTATCACACGATCAGAGCCTCCGGCATCATCATATTTAATCACGTCTACGTATTCATAATCGCCTAAAATAATAAAGACGAGACGAAGCCAGTTAGTCTTGAAGTAAATCCAGATGCCAAACAAAAACTCAATTCCAATTTAGTTCTTCAACCTCCAAATGCAAGAAACTTTAGACAGACAGTCACAAACGAATCAAGTTTTCTTAGTTTAGGAATCTTTGTAATCAACCCTATAAAAGGGAGTATTATTTAGAATAATGGAGAGGAATTCAATCCCTAAAAGGGTCTAAAGGAGTTTTGGGTCTCAAGCAAAACCAATGTTTTCTTCTTTTTCCTTTTCCAACTATTATTCTTTGTTCACTTTTTCTTATGGTGTTTCTTCTTGCCCGTGACGGGAGAACAGAGAGTTGTAAGGAAGTATACCTGCAGGAACCTTGCCATTGCCCTGCCACTTGGACGAACAAACACCAGCATCATAACCCAAAAGCCTCAAGAGCTTCACAAGAGAATATTTGATGCAGCTAGCCTTGCAAGGGCCCAACTTGACTGCCTGGAGGTCGGTGTCATTTATGGATATCAAAAGTGAACTCACCAGCGAGAGCAGGTCACTCTCGTATTGATCACCCGCCAATTTGATATACTGCACACAGACGAAGAATCAGGCAATGAAATGGAGCATTTCAGATATTTTACAAGAACTGCCATCAAGAAGAAAAATACTACTACCCCTGCAAAACGAATTTTGTAACTCCTACTACGTCGCTGATACCTAAATGAAAATAAACCTATAATCATACAACACAACAGATTACAAAGTCTAAAATCCAAAACACCAAAGTCAGGTTAACCTCCAATCCCATGAATTGTAACATGGAAAAAGAAGCAGCTTTGTGTTTTCTCAGTTTCATTCTCCCTTAAATGCCCGATTCAGCTTCCTTTCTTGAATCCTATGGAGGGGCCGAAAAATGTTGCAGTATATGTATATCCATATGATGAAGTGGCAGAAAATTCAAGTCAAATACAAAAAGGAATCAACCTGAAGACTCAATCTTAAGCATAAAATCAATAAGCTACACAACAATTGATTTGAATATGAATATGAATATATTAGCATCAGAATAAAAATTATTTTAGGAAAGAACTCAAGAACATAAAAAAAATGAAAAATTCAATTCACAAAAGGATGGGATAAAGATAGATAAGTTACTTACTGATAATTTGTCGGCGAGGTGAGGAAGATCGGAGAAACTGGAATCGCTATCGCTGCTACTCCTCGAGTCTGTACCGATGCTTCCGTTCTCCAGAAAATCCCTCACCATCGCCGCCAAATCACTATCACTTTCGTGGCTGAACCCATCACCCACCGGTCCCGGACCTCCGACATCGCCACCACTTAAACGCCCGTGTCCGCCCAGTCTCAACCACGCGTCCCCGGACGAAGCGCACACCCTACAGTCCATTGCAAAACCAGCACCACCAAAATCTTCACTTCGTTTCTCTCTCTCTCTCTCTCTCTCTTGGGCGTCAATTCGCCACTTTTTCCACGGAATTTAAACCAAACCAAAAAACACAAACCCTTATTTCTGCAAAAACTGCACGAAATCACGAGTCCAATATAACTCCAAAAAATTCAATTCCAAACGAACAACAACTGAGTTTTCCCTCGGATGCAAAAAATTGGCTCAATCAATCGAATTCAAAGTAGCGGAATTTTCTGTATGCATGAAAAAATCCAAACATTAGGCCGTAGAAAACCCTAATTCAAGAGGAAACGTTATCAAATTAGCAGAATTTCACCCCCTCCCTCCCCCGGAACAAAAAAATTTCGACATGCAAACCCAATTAAAATCAACGGAAGCATTGAATTACCGCAGCAGAGGAAAACCAAAAATAAAAATAAAAAAATATCAAAATTTGAATGATCCAAAGGGGTGAGAAGAAATGGGAGAAAATTTCTGATTTTCTTCAACTCCCAGAGGATGAAGAGGAGGAGGAGGGGGGAGAGGAGTTCAAATAGTAATGGAGACGGACAGCTGTCAAATTACCAAAACATCCCTTCCCTTCTCCGTAATGCCCAAGTAAACGGGATCCGCGGGGAAATATCGGAAAACCGGATAATAATTAATAAAGGAAAAAATGACACTTTTTACTCCTGAATTATATACTTATAGCACTTTTTTCTCCTCAATTATTTAGGTAAGTACATTAGCCTCCTCAATTATTTTAAAAGTGGTGTTTTTCCCCCCTGATATATTAAATTGACATTTATACCCTTAAAGTAAACATTTTATTTATTTTACTACTCCAACAAATTATTGCGTATACGTAGGGATGACCACGGTTCGGTTTGAATTGAACCGGATACTAAAGCAATCGAATTAATAGTTTACGGTTATAATTCAGATCTAGAACTCAATATTTAAATGTCAATTTAATAAAATTATGTATCAAAAAAATTGAATCTTGAACCGTGAACCGGCGGTTCCGGATCTGATTCGCGATTTTGAACCGTCTTTATTTTAAAATTGTATTTTTTATTTTAAAATAGTCTAAATTCAACAATAAATGTATTTTATTTTTTCAGTTTGGAACATGAACCGTCCGTTCCGGTTCATGATTTTAACAAACTCTAAATATCGAATTTCGATTCTAAATTGTAATTGGAATATTTCGGTTTGGTTGCTATAGTGTTTGTTTAGTTTGAACCAAATTATGGTCATAATTTGTTGGAGAAAAAAAAATAAATTAAATATTTAGTTTAAGGGCAAATATGTCCAATTAACATTTCAGGGGGAAAAACAGTCACTTCAATCATTTAGGAGGAAAAAATGCTATAGGTATATAACTCAAGGGAAAAAAGTGTCATTTTCCGATTAATAAATGTTGTGACGTAATAAATAATTATTTCTTCAGCACATTAATAATTAATACTCCGTAATTCTTTTGAACAATAATAATATTAACAAATTGTTCATACTTCTAGTTTAATTTATTTTATAATGATATCTGATTTCTTAAAATAAATATTACAAATAATTTTACATTCTTAAATCACCCTTAATAAAAGTAAATTATTGTTTAAAAAAAAATCTATTTTATGGGTAAAATAGAAACGAAAATATTCTTTTTGCACTTTACTTAAAATTTGTATCTATAATAATTTGTTGTGACAGCGCTAATAAAATTGCCATAATTTCTTATAATCATAAAACTCAATTAATCGTCAATGATTATTCGGTTCAATAAACTAATATCTATTTAATTAACCCAATTATTATAGGGTTCATTTGATAAGCTTTAAGCTAATAATATTATAGTTATTATTTATGATTATAAAATGTTAATCATGTATAGGTTACACTTTTATTTATTATACGTTGCGAACACTTCTCGATCGAACATATCACACAAGGTCTTGTTAGTATAGTTTATCTAACATATCACACGAGGTCTTTTTAGTACAATTTATTTTATCTATCATGTATGACTTGTGATGTATTTACATAGGAGTGGGATTTATTAGTGCACATCATCAATTAGTAGTTGCAGGTCTCCCTCATCGCCAAAAAAATAAATAAATAAATAAATAAATAAATAATGTAAATTTATAAGTTGTAGGTAGGGTCGGAGCCAGAAATTTCATCCATGATTAAAACAAATGAGATATTTTGAAAAAAAAAATTAAATACTAAATAACCAAGTAAAGAGATTCAACCTCTTTACCTCTACTACAACACATACATACTTAACCATATAAACTACTTCATCTTTACATAATTTATATCTATATTATTTACTTATTTCTAAACACTTACTATATGTATGTAACACTTGTTGGTGATAATGAACCAAAAGTCGATTTAATATCCAAAATAGTATTTATATATACACACGAGAATATATAAAATACTATTTGATATATGTCCGAAACATATATATACACACAAATATATATAGAACGGACCCAAAGGTTATATATACATATATATCTACGAAAAAGATATACCAATATATATCAGCCACAAATTGGAAATAATAATCCTCAGATTATAAAGTCAATTTAACGATAAAACAAATAGAGAGGAGGATTTTTGCTTAGAAGCATAATCCAAAATCGAAAGAAGGAAAAGATGGCTCGTGTATGGGTATAGAGTTTTTAGCGCGAGTCAAGAGACCACTATTTGCTTAAAACCTTATTTGCCACCTCCCAAAAGTGCTAGGAGCGCTGTGGCCTAGGTTTTCCAGGATAAAACGTGCTACGGTTCGACGTTTGAGCACCCAAATGAACGAACCCGACGAACTAGAGCAAAGCCTTGAACACAGTTAGGCTTAAGAAAGGAGTAGAAGCAGAAGTATTTTGAAGTGAAAAATGCATTGTGAAAAACTTCTGCCCTGTACTCCTTATATAGGGATGTTGGACTTCAATAGCATTAAACAAAGCCACACCCCCCCCCCCCTCCCCCCGGCGCGAGAGAGCCTTTATGCTATAGAATTATACAAGCTCTAAAAGAGCTCTTGTATAAAAGGGGGGGCAAATCCTCTTTCCAAACCAATGTGGGACAAAAGCTCACTTTTTCCCTTTTCATTTTTCCAACTCAATGGATCTACTTTGAGAATCAATATCTCATTCACTCATTATCCGTTTTGAGCGTACAATATATCAATCTCTTCGTCACACTACGAAGAACCCGAATTCACTTTGACCTGACCCAAATTGAAAGTGGACCCCACTGATAATTGTACCACAAAATAGCCACTTAAATGTCATTTTAACGCTATTTTTCCAACAACACTTACTATATGTATGTATATACTAGTTTTTTACGTGCATTGCGTGATTGGATAATGCCCAATGTTTTTCTTAAATAAGTATTTTAAAGTATATCAAGGCAAGATTATATTTGAATTGTTCATGCATAGATCATAGATAATTGAATGTTGAATTTGCATATTTAAATTGGTAATTCTAAGTTTACAAATGCAAGATAATATAGTTAAGATTGATTATAATGTCAATAAAATAATTGTATGGGTATGGTTGAAACCAAATATGGGACATAAGGGAGAGAAAATAAAAATTAAAACATAAAATATTAAATATATACTAATATTGTTTGACCAGGACTATGTGGTCTAATGGTATCCGTGTTGAACTTCCATTTGGAAGGTTATGAGTTCGAGCCTTAGTGTGGAGGCGTTATTAGCTCTTTGTGTTTCAGTAGGTTGAGAAAGTATATGAACAGATACTACAATGTAATAGAGCTAGTAGCATTCAAAAAAAAAATACTAATAAATTAATAGTACTTAATGGAAAAGTTAATGGATTGGATAATCATATAATTAAGGATAAATTAAGAAATTTCTAGAAAAAATAAAATACTAATAAATTAACAGTACTTAATGGATCGGATAATCATATAATTAAGGATAAATTAAGAAATTTCTAGGAAAAATTAAAATTTGAACAATCTGAACTATTCATTTGATTTAATAATTTGACGGTCATTTTTTCTACCCAATGTTTATAATTAAATAAATATTTGAAAGTATATCAATGCAAGATTATATATGAGAAGTTCAACATAAGTAATTTAATGTCTAATTTGTTTATTTAAATATGTAATTCATAGTATATGAATACAATGTAATATATGAGATTCATTATAATTGTTACTAAACTTTTTTAAATAGTAATCAAGTATTTTTGTTGCAAAGGGTTCTAATATATTTAATGAATGCACATATATACAAGATAATTGAATGAATCAATGGTACCGTCCTTTAGGTGTTTTGTTCAATGTTCATTTAGTTCAACCATTATTGTTGAATAAATTATTATGGATAAAGAAATTTCTAATTTAAGGAATTTAGATATAGTAAAAATTAATTTTTTTTTAATTATAATGTAACCCAAAGATATTGGACGATGGGTACATATGACGTAACCCAAAGATCAAAATGCTAAAGAAAGTGTTATTCCACAGTTTGAAGCAACAATTTGTTCCAACCCACTGAAAATACAAACATTGCAATTTACAATATTTTCACTTAGCGTTTTTGAGAATGATTTTCCCAAAACAAATCTATATTTAAAAAAATTATTATTATTATTATTATTATTATTATTATTATTATTATTATTATTATTATTATTATTATTATTATTATTATTATTATTATTATTATTATTATTATACCATTAGGTCATTTTAAATGTTTTTTTCAAATATCTTTTCACCAACCGTTGATATAATTCGCTAGTCAAATCCGCTAATATAATCCGTTAACCGCTAAATGCTGATTGTCAAACAAGAAAGACATTGCAAGGTAGTTTCTCACTTCAATTTGTTGTGTGATTTGAATACTCTCTTTGTCAACAAATTCCTCAAGTAGTTAATATGATTGGCTTTATTAATTTAAATTTTTTAAATTTTTTCATGGTATTAATAAAATACTTGGTAATAAATATATAGCATTATTTTGTGTTATAACTTTGATATTTAATTAAAAAAAAATAGTGCACAAAAAGATAATAGACAATGTAGTGAGTATAATCAATTGATGAATTTGAATGTAAAGAACTTTTACATTGGAGAAAAATAAAGACAATATAACTAATAAAATTATTTCTCTTAATTAATTTATTGATAATGCATAATTTTTTTTTTTAATAAAGACATTATAGGGACAATGTAGCGAATATAATCAATTAATGAATTTGAACTTTGAATGTAAAGAATTTTTATATTAGAGAAAAATAAAGGCAATATAACTAATGAAATTATTTGTCTTATTTAATTTATTGATAATGAATAATGTTTTTGAATAAAGGCATTGTAGACACATAATTCTAAATTAAAGAAATGCATATGCATTATTTTTTGTTGTAGCTACTAAATTATATTATTTAATTTAATAAGAGTAAAATAGAGTACTAATTATGCCAACTTTAATTGGGATGTGATTTGAACCTAAGATCTTTCTTA